TGTTTTGGATCATTGTTGCATGCTACTGGAAGGAGATTCTGATATCAGGGTTCTTTGCACTTCTGAAGATACTTGCGCTGTCAGCTGGACCTCTTTTTCTCAATTCTTTCATTCATGTTGCTGAGGGAAAAGAAGCATTCAGATATGAAGGTTATGTTTTGGCTATTTCACTCTTCCTTTCAAAGATCCTGGAATCTTTGTCCCAAAGACAATGGTACTTTCGAAGCAAATTGATTGGTCTTAAAGTGAGGTCCATGCTCTTAGCAGCAATCTATAGGAAGCAGCTGCGATTATCAAATGGTGCTAGAAGGATACACTCTGGTGGTAACATAATGAATTATACAAGTGTTGATGCTTATAGGATTGGGGAATTCCCTTTTTGGTTTCATCAGATTTGGACAACAAGCCTTCAACTTTGCTTTGCATTAGCTATTCTGATCCATTCAGTCGGACTTGCAACCATTGCATCGTTAGTAGTGATCGTTTTAACAGTAATATGCAATACACCCCTAGCCAAACTGCAGCATAAGCTACAAAGCAAGTTGATTGCTGCTCAAGATGAAAGGCTAAAGGCTTTCTCAGAGGCTCTTGTAAACATGAAGGTGCTAAAAATGTATGCTTGGGAGACTCACTTCAAGAATGTAGTCGAGGAATTGAGGAAAGTGGAGTATAAATGTTTATCAGCAGTGCTGTTGCAAAAAACATACAATTCTCTTCTCTTCTGGACATCTCCTACATTGGTGTCTTCTGCTACATTTGGTGCATGCTATTTCCTCCGAATTCCTCTACATGCTAGTAATATATTCACATTTATAGCAACTTTGCGTCTAGTGCAAGACCCCGTCACTATTATACCCCATGTCATAAGTGTAGTGATTCATGCAAGACTTTCATTTGCACGGATTGTGAAGTTTCTAGCTGCACCAGAGCTTCAAATTGAAAACGTCAGAAAGAGTAATATGACCAGCAGCACAAACTGTGCCATACTAATGAAGTCAGCAAAGTTTTCGTGGGAGATGAATCCGTCAAGGTCAACACTTAGAAATATAAATCTTGATATTCGCCCAGGTGAAAAGGTAGCTATATGTGGAGAAGTTGGCTCAGGAAAATCAACATTACTAGCAGCAATTCTTGGAGAAGTGCCATATATAGATGGAAATGTAAGATTATTCAATAACCCTCATAGTTAAACCTTTGCATCATTTTATTCACTAGCATTTTATCAAATCTTTAATGTCTAATTTTACTGATGTAACTCATGTAAGTAGGAGATTGATAGTAAAATTGTTTCCCAAACCGTACCTTTCCCTTGTACAGGTCGGAGTATATGGGAGAATTGCTTACGTTTCCCAGACAGCTTGGATCCAAACAGGGACAATACGTGAGAATATTATTTTCGGATCTGCCTTGGATGATCTGAGATACCAAGAAACACTCCATAAGTGTTCATTGGTGAAAGATCTTGAATTTCTTCCTCATGGAGACTTGACCGTGATAGGAGAAAGAGGAATTAATTTAAGTGGTGGGCAGAAACAACGGATCCAACTTGCTCGTGCATTGTACCAAGATGCTGATATATATCTTTTGGATGACCCATTTAGTGCTGTTGATGCACACACTGCAACTAGCCTCTTGAATGTAACCATAGACCTTAACTACTGATTTTTTTTTTCCCTTGACAACTGAGTTAACATCTGAATAATCTGATCTTTTTACATTGTTGTAGGATTATTTATGGAAGCTCTTTCTGGAAAGACTGTCTTGCTTGTAACACACCAAGTTGATTTTCTTCCCGCATTTCACAGTTGTTTGGTGAGTCCCTCAGTAGTGTGATGCTTAACTTGCGGAGTCTTTGCTTCAAATTTGTGCTTCAAGCCTCATTAGCCTTCAAATTTTCAAAGTTCATAATATTCCTTTAAACTAACAGGATATCATTCTTGTGTTTCAGCTGATGTCAGATGGGGAAGTTCTTCATGCAGGCCCTTATCATGAGCTATTAGCTTCAAGTCAGGAATTTTTGGACCTTGTAAACGCGCACAAAGAGACTGCAGGGACTGAAACACTAGCAGAAGTCAGCACATCTGAGAGGCACAATTGTACTGCAAAAGAGATTAATAAAGCCAATGTTGATGAGGACCAATATCAAGCATTAATTGGTGACCAACTGATTAAACAAGAAGAAAGAGAAGTTGGAGACACTGGTTTTAAATCATACATGATTTACTTGAATCAGAATAAAGGCTGCCTGTACTTTACTATTGTTGCTCTTGCACATCTCGCCTTTGTGACCGGTCAAATATTACAAAATACATGGATAGCCTCTAGTGTTGATAATCCTCACATCAGCAAATCAAAACTGATAGTGGTTTATGTCATAAGTGGATTCAGCATGACATTCTTTTTACTCATTAGATCACTAGCAGTGGTTAAATTTGGGATGGAGTCCTCAAAATCTTTATTTTCTAAGTTGCTGAACTCTCTCTTTCGCGCTCCAGTGTCATTCTACAACTCTACACCTCTCGGAAGGATACTAAGTCGAGTGAGTTATAAAGCTCTTGCAAGTTACACAGCATTAATCAAGTTGACATGACTTTAACTTCCCCTGCTTCTTTTAAAACCTGCAGATTTCATCTGATTTAAACATCGTTGATGTGGATATTCCCTTCAGCTTTCTGATGGGCTTTGGAGCTACTACCACGGCATATGCTACTTTAGGAGTAATGGCCATCATTACTTGGCAGGCTTTGTTTGTCATTGTACCAGTCATTTACATGACAATAAGATTGCAAGTAAGTATGTAAAGGATCTCCTCACATATTATCTTCCTGATCTTGATAACCTCCAAAATTGGTAAACTGCATGTAAAATGTTAAGATGTCATTTATTTGTGAAGCATAGTGTTTTCTGAAACTATAAACTTGTTGCTAGGCATAACACCTAATTAGCCTATAAACATATCAACAGCGTTACTACTTGGCAACAGCAAAAGAGTTGATGAGACTCCATGGTACAACCAAGTCTACGGTTGCAAACCATTTGACTGAGTCATTAGCCGGAGCTATGACAATAAGAGCTTTTCAAGAGGAAGACTGTTTTTTCGCAAAGAATCTCAACATTATTGACACAAATGCAAGCCCATTCTTCCACAGTTTTGCAGCCAACGAATGGCTGATACAGAGGATTGAGGCACTCACTGCCACTGTTCTTGCAGTAGCTGCATTATGTATGGTTTCGCTTCCTCCAGGAACATTAAGCTCAGGTGAGATAGTTCTCTCTTTTGCTCTTTGTTGTGAGGTTTTTGTGGTTAACAGATGTTATATGAGATGAGTAAAATTAAATTGCCTAGGAGCATTTCTGCAAGGTAATGCTAAGAAAACCAAAAATGCAGGGTTCATCGGAATGGCACTGTCGTATGGTCTTACATTAAACATGAGTATGGTTTTCTTAATTGAGAAACAATGTATATTATCCAACGATATAATTTCCGTGGAGAGGCTTGATCAATACATGGATATACCAAGTGAGGCTCCAGAAGTCATCAAAGATAGCCGCCCTCCACAAAACTGGCCATTGGTTGGCAAAGTGGAGATATGCAATCTGCAGGTGAATATCTTTGTATCTAGAATTAAATTTTGATGATTCTAGAAAGAGGGCAACGTACTAAAAATTTTCATGTTCAATCAGTTAAGATATAGACCAGATACTCCACTGGTTCTTAAAGGAATCAGTTGTACATTTGAAGGGGGCAACAAAATTGGCATTGTTGGTAGGACAGGCAGTGGAAAGACTACCCTAATAGGGGCATTGTTTCGCCTAGTGGAACCATCAGAAGGGAAGATTATAGTTGATGGTGTTGATATATGTTCAATAGGACTTCACGATTTAAGGTCACGTTTCGGGATTATCCCTCAAAACCCTACTCTCTTTAATGGCTCTGTACGATTTAATTTGGATCCGTTAAGTCAGCATGATGATGAAGTCATCTGGGAGGTATATTTTCTCTTTCTGTAATGAAGATTCTACTGTATATTATACCTAATGAGATACTGCTATAGATTTTTCAAGTGATGCAAAAAATCTGAAAAATCTGACTTTGTGTTCTTGAGAAGGTGCTTGGCAAATGTCAACTTTTAGAAGCAGTCAAAGAGAAAAACCAGGGACTAGATTCTTTAGGTAATTCTTTGTTCTTTCAGAGCAAAAAAAAAAGAAAAAGAAAAAGAAAAAGAAAAAAAAGTCTTTGACCATTTTGTTATTGCAGACCTTGCAGATCAGTTCATAATTCACATCAATATGCATTTTTATCAATTTTTGCACTAAACATTTTTCACTATTAGTTATGGAGGATGGGTCAAATTGGAGCATGGGACAACGACAACTGTTCTGTCTAGGTCGTGCTTTGCTGAGAAAAAGCAGGGTATTTGTGCTTGATGAAGCGACTGCATCCATTGATAACGCAACTGACATGATCCTGCAGAAAACTATAAGAGCAGAATTTTCGGATTCCACTGTGATTACCGTAGCCCACAGGATACCAACAATGATGGACTGCACAAAGGTCCTTGCCATAAGTGATGGTAAGTGTTTGGTTTTTAACATTACTAATATGTTTAGATTAGCTCAAACACTTATTATTCAGATATGCAGCAGAGAGCAAAATTCAGGAAAAATAAAAATAAAAAAACTGTAACTTTGAGATAAAAACAGCAGATGAGATCAATGCTAAAAGTTACACTGAACATCCTGCAGGAAACTTGGTGGAGTATGATGAGCCAATGAAGCTAATGAAGAACGAAAGCTCATTATTTGGCCAACTTGTCAAGGAATATTGGTCTCATATCCATTCTGCTGATCAATCCTACTGAACATAAGGCATTTAGCACACCAATCATCAATAAATAAAGAAAACAAAAGCCTGAGATTCTTCCAAAGTATTTGAGCTGAATGTAGAAGTAAACTACATATTGTAAGTTCTTGAAAGCATGCAAACATTCATGCATTGATTGAAGAACTATTTTTGACATGTATTGATAGGATTTCTAGTGCTTTTTTTTAGGATAGTCAATATGCCAAGTTGTGGGCAACAATAAATCAATGCAAGAAATATTCAGACATGTACAAGTGTATGACCATATAACGCAATTTTTATAACGAAAATATTGTTCCACAACCTAATGAACGCGTATGCATTTCAGAATTTCTATACCAATAAATAACCCATATCTTGCTTATGGTCCTCCAAGTACAGCATTCTCAATATCCTCTCTGCTGAGAGCATAGCTGAATCTCCTCTCCATATCTTTTTCTAGATTGCCTGATCCACTCTTCATATATCTGCATACCAAATGCAACTACTAGGTCAAAAAATCATACAGTAAGATTATAACAATCACAAGCTCAATTTACAAGAAGTAATTATGTCTAGCTTAAGGATCTAAAGATTGATTAAGCATGCCATGAGAAGGTGGGCAAAGATATTGAGATGGCACGAAAAGGGAAGCAACAAATCAGCAAATTGAAGGTGCAATGAAATGGCTGAAGATCAAAGGAAAAAAGAAGAAATGATCATTGTAAACAGAAGTAATTAAAGATAAGTACAGTATTTTGAGAGGTTTGTTTTCTCCCAAAGTACATAAGTAAACTAAACTAAACTCCATAACTTTATATCTCCTTTCTTTGGTCTTCAAGCTAATCCTACAAAATTAAGAATGCAACTTATGCAAGCCCTAAAGAACCTCTCCCCATTAGATCAGTTCATTGCAGAAGACTCTCCTCCAAAAATCACTTTACCTAACTGCAATATTTTGCCCTCGATTCCTTAATGCCATGATTATATCCTTAGCTATTCAAATTGGCGGAATCCATGGTAGAAATTAAGGGTCACAGCTTCACAGGTCAATGAAACTCAAAAGAACATTTTGCTGGTATATACTGATATTACGCGAAATGATGGCTTCTACACAGTTACACGATCACAGACGACACATTCTAAGTAACACCACACGTCCACACCACAACTTATAAGCCTGAATGCAGAACACCACACTTCTTACCCCAAAAAACAAATCCAACAAACCTATCCCCTAATTCACCACGGAAATCCCATAATCAAATAGTCCAAAGCTAACAAATCAGCCCCAATTCTTCCAAAACTCCTGTTGGTCTGGTTAACTGGTTTAATTATCAACCAAAAATTAATCTGACATACAATTTGGCAGTGTCCAATCCAACCACAAATAAGTTACGAAGTATATAGCAACTCATCCAATTTGCAATCTACAAAAATATTTAGTAGTACAGCACATACTTTATTTTTTACTCGTACCATTTTATTGTTGAAAAGTTTCAATAAGCAATCCTTAAAATCACATTCCAAATTTAGCAACTTTTTTTAGCACAACTATTTCACCCAAATTCACCAAAATCATCGTAATTGCAATTTGCAAACACAAATTTCCCTATTTATTTTCACAGATTAACAAAACCCATAAATTAAAAAAACAAGAAATTGCAAAAACCCAATTTAACAACAATAATAATGATAAAGAGAAAATTAAAGAATCCAAACCTAATATAAAGGTCAGTGATATCAAGGGAAAGTTGGGCACGCCATTCAGAATTATCAATAAACCAAACAGCCCTATCTTCATCACTTTGATAAAAACCTAAACTTTTAAGCCAAGCTTCAATGCAGGGCAAACTATGAGCATATAAAGGTTTCTTTTTGTCAGGTAATCTGGAAAGCCATTCATCTTCTGATTTTGTTGTAGCAACTTCTGCTTCTGCTTCTGAATCTGATGAAGCTTTTGGTACAAAATTGGGAGAATTTCTTGAGGAAAAAAGGTGGGAAATTGATGGGGTTTTGGGGAATTTTAAAGGGTATTTGAAGATTTGATTGGAAAATAATGAAGAAATGGAGGAGGAAGAAGAAGAAGAGGATAAAGTGGGTCTGGTTTTGGTGGGAAGAGTGAGACGAGTGTTTGGGAGAGATGAAATGGATAACATTTTTTCTTTCACTTAGTGTTTGTTCATTGATGATTATTTTTGGTTTGATTGATCCAATTTTTGGAACTTTTTCTGATGAGTGTGTGTATGAGCCGGGCTAGATTTTTGGGTTGAACTTGGTTTACATAATTTTTAGTTATACCCCATGTAGCCCAATGAGAAAGGGCACTAAGGGAGTGACAAAAGGATTTCCTTGTGTCGATATTGGACATATCAAATTAAGAGTTTGTTCTGATTTATTGAATTGATATAAACTAAATTAAACTAAACTGATTGAAGTTGAACTGAATTGTCTATGAGTGAAGAAAATTAGGAACTGAACTATAATTAAGCTAAAGAGAACAAGTCCTAAGTAGGACAATCAAATTGTACTTTTGTTCGAATTTTCTCACTTGTCAATCCGACTCGTATTGAGGACTAGATATTTCGAAAATAAAGCAAGGTGGAAGATAAGAGTGAGGAAAACTTCAATCTTTAAAGTATCTTTACAATGAATAAACCTCTATGGTTTACCAATTTTTTAATGGCGGAATGTACAATACATTTTCAACACTATGTTAAATAAATCATTTCACCTATTGTCACTCTCATTTTGTTTCACACGACAAAAAATTGTTCCCTTTTAGGACACCTTATATTCACTTATTCCTGAAAAAATAAGTTTAACGAATATAAGTTTGGATAAATAAATTTATATACAGATTATCTAGGATCAAATTATAAAAAATACGAAGTAAATTTTATAATAAGTTCGTATAAGTTAATAATTGAGTTTATAAAGCACACCATAATTGACTAATTTTCCAAATCACAAATCAAAATTAATAACCATTACTTTCTTTGATTCAACATTTCTGTCTAAATGTATATACTTCGTGATTTGTAATCAGGAAAAAAAAATGTCCTGCACATATTTCTTTTGAATTACTCCTTCTGTTTTTTATTTGCACCAATTTGACCGATACATTTGTCGAGATGAAACTCTGACCATTAATATCTTTCATTGTTTATTAGTAAAAAATTGTAAAAAAATTACATAATGAAACTAGATTAATTTATGACTAATCTAATGATATATTATATAATACCATTTATTTATTTTATAGAGGTGAAAAAATTAATTCAACCACGGTATGTAAATAGTGCAAAAATCAAAGTAATGCACTTAAAAAAAACAGGAGTACTTAAATAAAATAAAGATAAAATTTTAAGAAACCGCACAACTAAGTAACTAACATATTATAAACACCAATTTTTACGTATTACTTCCTATGCTTTTTTATAGTTGCAACACTTTGTCTCTTTTCACGCTTGTCATGTATGATTTCAATTGTTAATATTTTTAAATACCAATTTGTAAAAATTATAAATATTTGATATTAAAATAGTATAAATTGAGATGAATATTATATAACAGGATCCCACGTGACTATATTTTTGCATAACTATAAATTATCAAAGCTAGTCAAAGAGGAATACAAGAATAGTGTAAAAGTCAAACTTTTGCAACTATATAAAAAAAAACGGAGGAAGGCCCTGTTCTAATCAGATTATTTTCAGTTCAGCTCCTAATTTTATTCTCTCCTAAAATATTCATAGTATTCATTTTAGCTCAGTTTAGCTCTAATAAGTTCAGTTCAGCTCTAATAAGTTCAGTTTAGTTCAGTTTAGTCAATGAGAACAGGCACGAAGTATATAAGTAATCCAACATTCGAACTTATTGGCTGAAATGACAAATTTGCCCCTTTTTCGATCTTTAACAATTAACATGTTTCTCAAGTTGAGAGAAACATAATTTTCTCCATAATTTGCATTTTCAGACTCTGGTGTGCAGCCACAGTTCGCTTCTCAATTTCGGATTTCGTGCATTCCATCCAGGTAACTTTCTTTCACTTAATTTCTTCTATTTCGATCCATTAATTCTTGATAATGGCGAATTATCAAAACACTATTATACGATTTATACCAAACCATTCTACTTTTTCAATCTTTTAAAGTCTAATTCTTCATGAATTCAATCATAATTTCTAAAATTGGCTTCAAAATTAATTATACACATTTGTAATCAATTTTACATTTATCAATTTTGAAACAATTCAACCTAATTGATGTATTTTTAGCTGAATACTATAGCTTCTGTGAATATTGTTGCATTATTAACCTGATAATATTCAATTACTTGCTTATAATGTCCTGTTATACTCTGAAAGAAAGAATTACATAGTTTTTTCACCTTCAATGCCTTTAGTTTTGAGGCGATTGTCGATTACATTTGGAATGAGACCAGTATTCCTTAACTAGTTGCCCGAATAGCGAACCTTCCTTGTTCATTAGATTCAGTGGTTCATCATACTCTACCAAATTTCCTGCAGAAGTATCACATTACAGTACATCAGAATTTAGCGTGTTTTATAGTATTTAGGCCTCTGATGTTAATCTAGAAGAACATCATTTAGCGTTATACAGGATTGTAAACGCGAAAGAATACTAACCATCACTTATAGCAAGGACCTTTGTGCAGTCCATCACAGTTGGTATCCTGTGGGCTACTGTGATCATAGTGCAGTCTGTCAGTTCTCTTCGTATTGTTTTCTGCATAATCATGTCGGTTGCATTGTCTATTGATGCAGTTGCTTCATCGAATACCAATACCTTGCTTCTTCTTAGTAAAGCACGGCCTAGACAAAATAGTTGTCGCTGTCCCATGCTCCAGTTTGATCCATCCTCTAGAACTGATAGGAAATTTTAGTGAATATTATGGTTTAAAGATATTAATTGGCTGAAATGTGGTTTTGAAATAAGTGTTACCTGAGGAATCTAGGCCATGCTCTTTATCTAGGACATCTTCTTTTAGTTGACATTTTTCAAGCACCTTCATATGAATACAAAAAAGAAGGTGCAGTTGTCATGGGTTGAATGAAATGTTCGGAGATGTATCTATTGAAGAAAGAGAGACTTTACCTGCCAGATTTCTTCATCATTGCTTTGGCACAATGGATCTATATTGAATCTTACAGTGCCATTAAAGAGAGTAGGCTCTTGGGGAATAATCCCAAAACATGAACGTAGATCATGAAGTCCTATTGAACCTATGTCAATTCCATCAACTATTATCTTCCCTTCAACTGGCTCCATCAAGCGAAACAAAGCCCCTATTAGAGTACTCTTCCCGCTTCCAGTCCTACCAACAATACCAATTCTGTCTCCCCCTTCAAACGTACAACTGGTTCCTTTAAGAACCAGGGGTGTATCTGGTCTATATCTTATCTGTTTAAGAAATGAGAATTCTTCACGCCTTGCTTTTATAGAATTTATTAAATGTGATTCTAAATGTAAAAAGTTCACCTGCAGATTGTATATCTCCACTTTACCAACTGATGGCCAATTTTGTGGAGGGCGGTTATCTTTGATTATTTCGGGAGGCTCACTAGGTATGTCCATGTACTGATTTATCCTCTCCACAGAAATAATATAGTTGGCTAATGTGCATTGATTTTGAATTGAGTTTACCATGCTTATGTTTAGTGCTAGACCATATGTTAAAGCCATTCCAATGAAGCCTGCATGATTAGTTGTATTAGAGTTTCTTTATTCATTTATCTTTGTTGATTTGTGCACAACTCCATGCTCTTTGAATAAGTGGAAGATTTGCAGCAATTGAAATTTCACAAGAGAGATAGGGAGGTATAATTACTCACCTGAGCTAAAAGTCCCGGTAGGAAGCAAAACCATGCACAGTGCTGCTGCTGCAAGTACAATGGCACTGAGGATCTCAATCCTTTGAATTAGCCATTCATTAGCTGCAAAATTGTGAAACAATGGACTTGCATTTGCATCAATAAGATCCAGAGTCTTAGCAAAAAAGCGATCTTCCTCCTGAAATGCTCTTATAGTCATTCCCCCAGCTACAGATTCAGCCAAATGGTTTGCAACCATAGACTTGGTTGTACCATTGAGTCTCATCAACTCTTTTGCTGTTGCATAGTAATACCTCTGTACACAAGATTAATAGGCTAGTTAGTGTAAATTCTGCAAATTTAAGATTTTTTTTTTTTTTTTTTTTTTGACACAAAATTTAAGAGTTATTATGACTCTTTCTCTTCACTCAATCACAATATGTATTATGATTTAGAGTTCATTCTGTAGCAGGTGAATAAAGTTGTCCTCTACACCTTGAATATAGTAGAGAAATTTCTGTAACTACGGTTTCCCCTAAAAACATAGTTCTGCCCCAAATTGCCAAATAAGGAAGTTTAGGCTCCAAAACTGTGTCACAAAACTCACAATTAAGTTGTCCTATTTATTTTTTTGGTGACAAAGAGTTGTGGGGAGAGTAGAATTGGGAGAGGGTTATTTAAAAGATTACCTGCAATCGAATTGCCATGTATATTACTGGTATGGAGATTAAGAAGACTTGCCAAGTAACTATGGTCAAAACTACTAAATTAGTGTATGCAACTGCAGTAGCTCCAAAGGTTGTCATGAAGATGAAGGGGATATCAAGGTCTACAATGCTCAAATCAGAAGAGATCTGCATAGTAAAAGAAATGCAGGTAAATTACTGTAACAATTTTAGTGTGGATCACTGTTGGGAAGCGTATGATAACTTTAGTCTTACCCGACTTAGTATCCTTCCAAGAGGTGTAGAGTCATAGAATGACATTGGAGCGCGAAAGAGAGAGTTTAGTAACTGTGAAAATAAAGATTTTGATGTTTCCATCCCTAATGTAACTGCTGCAAGAGATCTAAAAAGTATGCAGAATGTTGAGCAGAGTCCAATTATGAGGTAAACCACAATCAATGTTGGTTTTCTGACATGAGGATTATCGATGCCATAGGCCATCCAAGTGTTCTGTAATATCTGGCTGATCAGAAAGGCAAGATTAGCAAGAGCAAGAATTGAAAAATATAAATAGCCTTTATTCTGATTCAGGTATATTAAGTATGGCTTAGAACCAGTGTCTCCAACATCTCTTTCTTCTTTTTTTATCAACTGATTCCTTTTCAGTGGTTGATATTGTTTCTCAATATCCATTGATGTCATAACCTCTTTTGCTGGATAGTTATGCCTTCCATCTCCGGCCAGTGTTTTAGTACCAGCAGTTTCTTTGTGTGCTGTTACAAGGCCCAAAAATTCTTCACTTGAAGCTAATAATTCATCGTAGGTGCCTGCTTGAAGGATTTCCCTATCTGACGTTAGCTGCAAATAAGAACATTTTGATGATTACTGATGCTGGGGCTCAGATAAAAAGAGAAAAAAATTGTAGAAAAGCATAGTTTTAGTGGGGGCAGAAAATACCTAAGTTTACTGAACCCTTTTGCATACATTTTAAGAACACTTACCAAACAACAATGAAATGCAGGAAGAAAATCAACTTGGTGTGTCACAAGCAGGACAGTCTTTTCAGAAAGAGCTTCCATAACATAATCCTGTCACAATGTGTGTAAATAGTCATTTATTACTTTAGGTAAAATATTAAGGAAATGAAGAATTTTATGGTGAAGCTGCAAGAGTTACATTGAAGAGGCTTGCTGCTGTGTGTGCATCAACAGCACTGAATGGATCATCCAAAAGATAAATGTCAGCATCTAGGTATAATGCACGAGCAAGTTGAATTTGTTGCTTCTGCCCACCACTTAGATTAACTCCTCTTTCTCCTATTTCAGTATTGTCAGCATAAGGAAGAAGTTCAAGGTCCTTTACCAGTGAACATCTCTGGAGAGTTTCTTGGTATCTAGAATCATCCATGGCAGAGCCAAAAAGTATATTCTCATGTATTGTCCCTGTCTGGATCCAAGCTGTTTGGGAAACATAAGCAATCTTCCCATAGACTACCACCTGTAAGAGAAAACATGTTGAAGAACAAGGCAATATATCCAATAAAAATCTCTATAAATTTGTTGTTATTTACGGAGTTAGCTATGTGACTGCTATCAAGAAGGTTCATGCAGTCATGAGAGTTAAGCTTACAGTTCCATCTGCATGTGGTAATTCTCCCAGAATTGCTGTTAGTAATGTTGATTTTCCTGAGCCAACTTCCCCACATATAGCGACCTTCTCACCTGGATGCACATCCAGATTTATGTTTCTTAGTGTCGGCTTTGATGAACTTATTTCCCATGAAAGATTTGCTGACTTCATCTGAATGACATGGCTTGTGCTGTTCATTTTTCTCTCCTTCCTGATATTTTCAATTTGAAGCTCTGGAGCTGCAAGAAATTTCACAATTCGTGCAAAGGCAACTCTTGCCTGAATAACTACACCAATGACATCGGGGATAGTTTTGATGGGCTCTTGTCCCAGCCGCAAAGTGGCAAGAAAGGTGAAAACATTACTGGCATGTAGAGGAACTTTGAGGATATAACATGCCCCAAATGTAGCAGCAGAGATCAATACAGGAGATGACCAGTAGAAAAATAAACTGTATCCTTTTTGTAACTGCACTGCTGATAATCGTTTACATTCCACTTTCCTCAATGCTTCGACTACATTCTTGAAATGCGTCTCCCAGGCATATAACTTTAGCACCTTCATGTTCACAAGCGCCTCAGAGCAAGCCTTCAGCCTTTCATCTTGAGAAACCATCAACTTGCTTTGAAACTTATGTTGTAATTTGCCAATAGGAGTGTTACAAAGCACGGTTAATATAATCACTACTAAAGATCCAACGGTTGCAAGTCCAATTGAATGGATCATAATAAGTAATGCAAAGCAAAGTTGGAGGCCTGTTGTCCAAGTACGATGAAACCAATATGGAAATTCCCCGATTCTATAAGCATCAACGGATACATAATTCATTATCTCGCCACCAGAGTGCATCCCCCTGGCAACATTAGATAATCTTAGTTGCTTCCTGTAAATTGCTGCAGTGAGCATGGACCTCACTTTGAGACCATCAATTTGCTTCGGAAATACCATTGCCTTTGTGACAAAGATTCTAAAATCTTTGAAAGGAATAGTAAGATGGCCAAAAGATAACCTTCATACTTGAAAGCCTCTTTACCCTCAGCTACCTTAATGAAGGAGTTCAGCAAAAGAGGTCCAGCTGACAGTGCGACTATTTTAAAAAATGCAAAGAACCCTGACATCAGAATCTCCCTCCAGTGACATGCAACAATACTCCACAAGATTGTGGATTCTGATGGCAACTCATTTTCTTGTTTCCGTTTACTCACTTGATCCAGAAACTGCAGGTAACAGGATCCTGCTCTGTCTATATCTCGAAGTTTTGGTACATCATCTTCCTGAAGTGTCTTTTCCTTACCCAATTTCAACAAAGGTTTCAACCAACAAAATGACATCACACTGAGCAACCCAGCTGTGGAAAATGGGGTGATTTGGGAAGCTAAATCAGTTTCTCTAAGACCTTTTTCCTCAACATTCAAAGGTATGTAAAGGGTATTATTTCCATCACTAGCCATCCCTTCATTTTTGTATCTTCTGTAAGTACATAACAAGAGCAAACCTGCTCCTAGGAAAGACAGAATATCTAAGCCAGCCTTAACTGTAATTCTTTCATGGTTCATTATGGTGAAGTAAAGAACCAGACAGCAGTAAATCCCAGCATACACGAAAACCAGAATGGACAAGATTTGCAATGGGGCTTTTGGGGAAGACCCTCCTCCTATAAGTTTCGTTGTTAGTCCCATGACCAACCACGTAACTCCATGAAAGAAATATATAACCCACCAATGAATTGGTGATATAGAATGATCACTTCTTAACTTTTCCTTCAAAATCCGAATACCTAAGCCTATGTAAACAAGTCCCAAAGATGCATTAAAAACAGCTGATAACATGTGTAGGGTTGAAAACTGTCTATGATTAGCTCGTATCTCGATTTTCTTGGAAGAATTTTGGTAAAAATGAAGCTTAATAAGAGGATTGTCAGAAGCAGTAGATTGAAGCAAATAATGGAAGCATGGTTGCCACAGGCAGAAGGATGGATAATAAACATAAACTGAGGACTGCAAGGCTCAGAACTGTTTACTGCACAATCAGTTTGCCCACAAAATAAAGCCCACAAATCCTCCATCTTTATATTACCCAGAAAAGTCTCTAATATCAATCACCAAGGCAACCAATGCATCGAACTTTACCAGTAGCTCATGCAACTCTGGTGATTATCGATATTTGATCTGAAAAAAACTAAAGCATGGTACAATTAGACAATAAAGATGACAGAAGTTCTCTCACCTCAAATTTTTGGGGTTGGCTGATGCAGGACACTCATTTATCAAGAGCTTACCTGAATGAAAAAACATATTGTAATAACTCGTTCCAAACTTTCTGCACATACAGCAGCTGCAGGAGGTAGCTGCTTGAGGTTGGATACTGTCAAATAAAACTATTAAGAAGTTATAACACATCAGAAAGAAAATACAGAAATTAACCAGAATGAACTAATCTAGACAGTAGATGAGTGCTTGGGGTAGTGAACTAAGCAGGATATCCAACTGTGGTTATGAACTGTGGTTAGACTCTGGTATATCTGTGATGAATAGTCCAATAGTCCATTTTTTCTTTTAATATTCTGTGTTGTACACTTATACTGTCATGTTGGGATTAAGGCGTTGTCATTGTTGTTGGAAATAGTATATTAGTATATTACTAATACGGTATTGGTTTGCACAGATGGGTTGTAGAATTTTCTAATTTTCTTCTTAGCTTCTAGCAATGATACGATAAAGATATAATCTGTAGCTTTTCTTGTAATTCTTGATTAAGAGCTATATCTTCTTTGTACCATACCCTTGCAATTCGAATATGTGACTATTAACTTTAATTCATATTAGGCTAGTTTTGGTGGAAATATAGCTTTACTAAGAATCTTGTGCGCGATGCATTATAAAAGCATATGTGAATAAACAAATTATTTCATAACTTTTTCTGGGTGAATGAGGGAATACAACCTTTGGCTTTCTGAATTTTTAATGATTTTTTTTTTGGCCTTTTTGTGTTTTGAATGAACAAGTTTCAGTGCGGTTACTGTCGTTTAGTTACTAATTTAAGTGATTAGTGACTAGTGTGCTTTACATGCGTGTCACTTACTCTCCACTAAGATGTACTTTTATGTCATACTTGTAGTTGGTAGAAGATTATTTTTGAGATAATAGTAATGATTTTGTATGTTTAACCAACTGCTGTGAATAAATTGAGGTTGCCAATGGGCTGGGGACACCGGGCTGGTAATTGGGGAACCGAGGCTGGACTGAACCGACCGATTCACAAGGCAGTTCAGGTAGGCCAATCAGAACCAGGTTGGTGGGCTGGGATTAGTGGATTACTCTGGGTGTTTGGCTGGTGGACTGGTTTAAGCTGGGCTGAGACGGATTGGCTTGTGCTAACCCAGCCCCTTCATCTTGCTGTTTTGTACTTTTGTTGTGTAAATGTGTGATAGACTAATTACAATATTCTACTATTATATCAATTTGTGGTATTTGTTTATCATAATTGACTGAGTTTGATCATTCTTGTCTAGTTCCTCTTCATGATAATCTGAATTTAATGTTGCAGCTTGCAATTCACATGCAGAAGACTGAGTTTGATCATTCAAGTGAAAGATGTTGAAGGGCATAAAAAAATTTACTCGTCTAAAACACGAGTTCGGGTTCCAGCCTGATCCAGCTGAATGCAATACCACTGTTTAAAAAAAGTAAGCCAAACTTTATACTTCCTGAAACCTGTCTTCTGATTTCTAGTTTTCTACTATTATTGCCTACAAGCAGTCAAGTTTGAATAATATGTTCTCACTGCTTCTCTAATTTACCAAGTTGTAGCTTAGAAGTAGATGAGCAGTTGCAGAAAATTGCATGTTGCCCTTACCGTGTCATGAGATTCATGACTCAAACAAATTAAAAGAGGATAGAGGGATCTTCATCAATTCAAAATAGATTGGTTGCTCCTTCACGACTTATGTTTAATGTGACTGACCAGCTGAGTGAATATGAGACCAATATTCTTTGACAAGTTGGCCAAATAACGAACCTTCCTGTTTCATCAGCTTCATTGGTTCGTCATACTCCACTAAATTTCCTGCAACAGAATCAAGATATCTTTTTAGATTCTGATCTCATCTTGGTAATACAGAACATAATTTATGGTTTCTTCTGTATTCTGTAACTTCTGTTTCAGATGTATTCTTAGATTTAACATTGCTAAATCACATTACAGCGAGATTTCCTTGTTAAAATGGAAGTTGTCTCTAAATTTATGTTTGGCTTATACTTAACTATGTTGAAAATTTTAGTGAGCTTAATCTTTTGAAATCTTGAAAGGAAAGTAAGATTACTGACCGTCACTAATGGCAAGAACTTTTGTGCAGTCCATCACGGTAGGTATCCTGTGGGCTACAGTGATCACAGTGGAACTTGCAAACTCTGTTCTTATTGTTTTCTGAAGGATTGTGTCAGTTGCATTATCAATTGATGCAGTCGCTTCATCAAGCACCAGCACCCTACTTCTTCTCAGCAAAGCACGCCCTAGACAGAACAGCTGCCGTTGCCCCATGCTCCAATTTGATCCGTCCTCCTCAACTGGTAAGATTGTTCAGTGCAATCATTTATAAACCATTAATAAATCATCTTACTAGGGAATTTCTTAATACATGGATTGTAAAATGGTTAGGTGTTTTTCTAGATGAACGACTTGCCTAGAGAATCTAGCCCCTGGTTTTTCTCTTCAACAGCTTCTTTAAGCTGACATTTGATGAGGACCTTTCCATAGAAAACGAGTAAGTTAGTTGTTTTGCATTACTTGAGAAAAATAGAGCATCAGCATTGTGTTATATGTTTAAATCTACCTCCCAGATTTCTTCATCATTATGTTGACATAAAGGATCCAAGTTGAAGCGTACTGTGCCATTAAAGAGTGTAGGATCTTGTGGTATTATCCCAAACCGTGACCTTAGATCGTGAAGTCCTATTGATCCTATATCAATGCCATCAACTATAATCTTTCCTCCTACTGGTTCCACTAATCGAAATAATGCCCCTATCAGGGTCGTTTTCCCACTGCCAGTCCTGCCAACAATACCAATTTTATCTCCCCCTTCAAATGTGCAACTGATTCCTCGAAGAACTAGTGGTGTATTTGGCCTATATCTTATCTGTTTGAGGCATGAAAAATCTTAGCATCCCACCTTTCCAGAGTCTGTACTGTTAAATGTCAGCAAATGTTGAAAGTATTACCTGCAGATTGATTATCTCCACTTTACCAATTAATGGCCAGTTTTTGTGGAGGGCGGTTATCTTTGATGACTTCTGGAGCTTCACTGGGTATATCCATGTATTGATTAAGCCTCTCCACGGAAATGATATTGTTGGCTAATATGCATTGATTCTGAATTGAGAAAACCATACCCATGTTTAGGGTAAGACCATAAGACAGTGCCATTCCGATGAAGCCTGCATTAGCGGTGGTATTAGCATTACTCTATGGAATTTCTCATAGAAAAAAAAAAAAAAAAGAAAAGAAAAAATATTCATTTCTTCATCTTATAAAATTTTGCAGCCACAGAAACCTCGCTTTAGAGGAAGAGAGAGAAAGAGCAATCTCTTACCTGAGCTTAAAGTACCAGGAGGAAGCAAAACCATGCACAGTGATGCTACTGCAAGAACAGTGGCACTGAGTGCCTCAATCCTCTGAATCAGCCATTCATTGGCTGCAAAACTGTGGAAGAATGGGCTTGCATTTATATCAATAAGATTGAGATTCTTTGCAAAGAAACGATCTTCCTCTTGAAAAGCTCTAATTGTCATGGCTCCAGCTAAAGATTCAGTTAAATGGTTTGCAACCATAGACTTGGTTGTACCATTGAGTCTCATCAACTCTTTCGCAGTTGCAAAGTAATATCTCTACACACATGTTTCATAAATTAATAAGGTGTTAAACCAAATGGTAAGTTTAAAGTTTCAAAATACGCTCTTTATAAATGACAATTTATAGTTAAGACTTTAGAGTTCATTATAGCTGTAGGTGGAAAAAATGCATACTACATCTTGAAATTTATGGTGAAAGTGTTTAATAACTGTGGTTTACTCTGCAGGTACAATTAACCTCAAAACAAATGCAAATTCAAAATCATATTATGCAACTGTCTAAGACTTGCTTTGCTAGAAACTCAGCAGAATCTTTATGAAGCTACTGAAAAAGCGATCTGGCAATGGTTCTATCCCAAGCATGGCATATAAATGTATGACAATCACATCCGGATGATGACATAGAAGGGTAGAGGACAGGGAAGTTTCCCTGTGGGTGATCTTTCAAAAACTTACCTGTAGTCGTATTGCCATGTATACCACCGGTATGCTGACAATTAACACTTGCCAAATGATGACAGCTATCACACATAAATTAGCATATGCAATTGTAGTGGCTCCAAAAGCTGTTTGGAAGTTGAAGGGGATATCAACATCAGTGATGCTCAAATCAGAAGAGATCTGCAGAGTTCAAATTTACTGCATAATCAGTTGAACCAAGTTGTGTAGATCAGAGCTGCAAAGCTTATGACAGCTTTATACTTACCCGACTGAGTATCCTTCCAAGAGGTGTAGAATCAAAGAATGACATTGGAGCCCGAAATAGAGAGTTTAGTAACTTATTAAACAAAGCTTTTGAAGATTCCATCCCTAATGCAACCACTGCAAGAGACCTTATGAGTAAACAGATTGTTGAGCAAAATCCAATGATGAGGTAAACCACAATTAGTTTTGATTCGCTGACATGAGGATTATCGACACCTGAGGCCATCCAAGTGTTCTGTAATATCTGGCCTGTGACAAAGGCGAGATGAGAAAGAGCAACAATGGAGAAGTACAAATAACCTTTATTCTGATTCAGGTATATTAAGTATGGCTTAAAGCCACTGTCTCCAACTTCTCTTTCTTCTTGTTTAATCAACTGATCCCCTTTTAATGCTGGGTTTTGGTCCTCAACATTGACTCTCTTAATCTCTTTAGTAGAAATATTAAGTTTCCTTGGACTGCTAACTTCAGCCTGTTCAGTACCAGCTGTCTCTTTATGAGCATTTACGAGGTCTAAAAAGTCTTTACTTGAAGCTAATAACTCATTATACGATCCTGACCGGAGTACTTCCCCATCTGACATCAGCTGCAAACAAGAAGAATATCCTGTTATGATTTCAGGCAAAATGACTAGCAAAGAACAGCACAGGTAAATATAGCTGAACAAGAAATCAATCCCGCAACATTCAAGATGATGTAAGATTGTAAACATCATTTATGTATCATTCATTAAAATGAGTAAATTCATTTAGAAAATTAAGCATGGTATTTTGGTTAATAAAGACTTGACATTTTGTAACCAATAGTCTAGTATGTAGTTTCAGCTTCCATTAGAGAGGACTAGACTTTTCTTACAGATAAAGGAGTGATTCTAAAACTCAAGGCTGCAAAAATAAGCGAGTATGACATATTTTTCTTCTGTATGTTGATAAGCAGATTACAGAGTCTGCTGATGACCTTTGCATTTTCATGGGAAGCAGCAGCATAGATAAGCTGAAGACTTGATAACATAGAGCACTACAAAGGTAACTACTGTATCAATAGTCTGCAAGTTCATATATTCGCCATTGGATTTTTATTTATTTTTTCTTTTTTGGGTTTCATCATTCATGTAGACAACTAGACATTATAATGGTAAAATCTACTGAATCCACATGCAAGACAGCAGTAAACTATACATTTTTTTTTTTTTTTCCAAAAAAAAAAAAAAAAAAAAAAAAAAAAGTCAGCAACTGATGTTAGACTCACCAAACAACTATGGAAAGCAGGAAGAAAATCAACTTGGTGTGTCACAAGCAAGACAGTCTTTTCAGAAAGTGCTTCCATAACATATTCCTGCCACAATATAAAAAGTCCAGATGTTAATTTGGATTCAAAATTAAAATTTACTTTTATTTTAAGGTTTAAAAATTACATTGAAAAGGCTAGTTGCAGTGTGTGCATCAACAGCACTAAACGGATCATCCAAAAGGTAGATATCAGCATCTTGGTATAATGCACGAGCAAGTTGAATCCGTTGCTTCTGTCCACCACTCAAATTAACTCCTCTTTCTCCGATTTCTGTCATGTCACCATAGGGAAGAAGTTCAAGATCCTTCACCAATGAACACCTTTGAAGAGTTTCTTGATATCTCAGGTCATCCATGTCAGACCCAAATAGAATATTATCACGTATTGTCCCTGTTTGGATCCAAGCTGTCTGGGAAACATAAGCGATTCTTCCATAAACTTCCACCTGTAAGAGATAACCGTTTCAAAGAAAAATAACAAATTTTCATAAATCTCTTAATGAATATGCAAAGTAGATATTTATAATGCTAGTTAGGTGACTTTTGTCTTCACTAGGCCTGATTTTGCTGCTAACTAAATCATTAAAACATGCAATATTTCAAGGAGTATAAAGGTTGCTGAAGAAGCTTACTATTCCATCTATACATGGCACTTCTCCGAGAATTGCTGCTAGTAGTGTTGATTTTCCTGAACCAACTTCTCCACATATAGCTATCTTTTCACCTGGTCTAACATCTAGATTTATATTTCTCAGTGTTGGTTTGGATGGATTCAGTTCCCATGAAAGATTTGCTGACTTCATCTGAATAGCGTGGCTGTTCATATTGTTATTTTTTCTGACATTTCCAGTCTGCAGCTCTGGTGCTGCAAGGAACTTAACAATCCTTGCAAATGCAACTCTCGCTTGAATCACTACGCCAATGACATCAGGAATTGCTCTGATAGGCTCTTGTACCAGACGCAATGTTGCAAGAAATGTGAAAACATTGCTGGCATGTAGAGGAACTTTGAGGAAATAGCATGCCCCCAATGTAGCAGCAGAGACTAATACAGGAGATGTCCAAAAAAGAAAAAAGTTGTACGCCTTTCTCAACTGCACTGATGATAACCATTTAGATTCCACTTCCCTTAATGTCTCAACTACATTCTTGAAGTGACTCTCCCAAGCATACAACTTTAGCACCTTCATGTTCACAAGAGCCTCCGAGCAAGCCTTCAGCCTCTCATCTTGAGCAACCATCAATTTGCTTTGGAACCTATGCTGTAATTTGGCTAGGGGAGCATTGCAAATTACTGTTAAAACAATCACTACTAAGGATGCAACAGTTGCAAGTCCGATTGAATGGATCAGAATAAGTAATGCAAAACAAAGCTGGAGGGTTGTAGTCCAAGTTTGATGAAACCAAAAAGGGAATTCCCCAATCCTATAAGCATCCACCGTTGCATAATTCATTATCTCACCACCAGAGTGTGTCCTTCGGGCAACATTTGATAGTCGTAGTTGCTTTTTATAAATCGCTGCAGTGAGCATGGATTTCACTTTAAGGCCAACCATCCTGCTTCGGAAATACCATTGCCTCTGTGACAAAGATTCCAAGATCTTTGAGAGAAAGAGAGTGATTGCCAAAAGATAACTTTCATATCTAAAAGCCTCATTACCCTCAGCAACCTCAATAAAGGAATTCAGCAATAAAGGTCCAGACGACACAGCAACTACCTTCAGAAAAGCAAAGAGCCCTGAAATCAGAATCTCCTTCCAGTGGCATGCAACAATAGTCCACAAGATTGAGGATTCTGATAAGGATTCAGCATTTTTCTGCTTATTCAGTTGTTCAAGAAATTGCAAGTAACAATATCCTGCTCTATCTATTTCCCGCAGTTTAGGTATGTTGTCTTCCTTCAGAGTCTTCTCCCTACCCAATATCATCAAAGGGTTTAACCAACAGAATGTCATCTCACTAAAAAACCCGGCTTTGGCAAACGGAGAAACTTCAGCAGCTGAATCACTTTCACTGATGCTGTCATTATCATCAGCAATCAGAGAAGTGTAAAGGGTACTCCCATTGCCAGCCACCAAAGATTCTTCACTTTTATACCCCTTGTAAGTACATAACAACAGCAAACTTGCTCCTGGAAAAGACAGAATATCTAAGACCACCTTAACTGTTAGTCTCTCATGGTTCATTATGACAGAAAACAGAGCAAAACAGCAGAAAATCCCAGCACAAAGGAAAGCCAAGATGGACAAGATTCGCAACGTGGCTTTCGGAAAGATCTCTCCTTTAAGGCTTGCTGTTAGTCCAACCAACAACCATGTAACCCCATGAAAGAAGTACAAAACCAAACGATCGATTCTCAACCTTTCCTCTAGAATCCAAATACCAAAACCAATGTAAACAAGTCCCAAACATCCATTAAAAACAGCAGATAATATCTGCAAGACTGAAAACTGTCTATGACTAGCTCGTAGCTCGACTTTCTTGGCAATTTTTGTGTAGATTAAGCTCCATAAGAGCACTACCAAAAGTAATACATCAAAACATACAATGGAAGCATGGTTCATACATGAAGAAGGTTGAATTACTAACACAAACTGAGGATTACAAGGCTCTGAACTGCTGCTTGCACAATCAAATTTTCCACAATATTTGATCCACAGATCTTCCATTATCATTTCTCAGCCACCTTTTTTCTGCATCAATAAAGAGATAAAAAAAAATTGATGATCAATATAAATCTATTAAATACAAAGCATAAAAAACATAAAGATATGATAACTTTTAACTTTGTGGTCTTTTACATCAATAATAATAATAAGTATAAATCAGAATGACACTTTCTAGCTTGCGTACAAGAAGAAAGAACAAACAATGATCTTGAAATCTAGTAAATCAAATTTAATACGGAATAGATATATAATAAAACAATATACATGTAACTAAAAAAATGTTTTAAAACAATTATTAAAGTTAAAGTTAGATTAATACTCCGTATATCATGCAAACCTTGCCATTAGTATAATATATACTTCATATGAAACAAGATCATCTGTTTTTATTTTTTAATTAATTAGTTTGTCAACGCAGTGCATTTAATAGAGTAATGATGCATTGAACTCCCCCATTATCATCAGTATTATAAATATATTATAAATATACTGTAGTTTATAAAAGACCAAAATAGAAACCCAAAACTATAAAATATATGCAAGTGTTATACCATAAGAAGATAAATTCCAGAAAACCAGAATATTATTTAACCAAGAAATTGATCATGAAATAATTTTGGAGTATTCAATTTATTTATTTATTTGGATGTTATGTGATTTTATAGATTATAGAAAAAGAAAAGTGATGTAATTACATGAATAGTGGGCAAAAGGACACATAAATATTGGGAAATGAACAAGGGTTGGTTTGACTGTCAGCTTTACAAAGCGAATGGATCGGAAACCGATTTACAATTATGCACTGGAGACCAAAATGTAAAAGTTAATTAAGCCTTAATTCCAACTCCACCTAATTCATTAAAGGGAGTCCTACACGTAACATTATTATCTAATGGTTTTAGGTTTAAACTATAGTCTAATCTCTATCATATTACTCTCTCCGTCCTCGAAACAACGACCCATTTGGCCTAATTTTAGTCCCAAAAAGAATGACTCATTTGCGTTAAAATCTCCACCAATTTGCAATAATATTTGTGCAAAATTAGCTTCCCCATATAAAATTTTGTTTCTCTATGTACTTTTACTACTTTCTCTCTCTACTTTTTTACAAACTCTAGTAAATTTATCTTTCCAATATACTTTTACTTCTTTTTATTTAACTTTCTTAATACCCGCGAAATCAACCCAAATGGGTCGTTCTTTCGGGGACGGAAGGAGTACTATTTACATGTTTTTTTTAAGGCAAAAGCTAATGAGCGCCCCCGGGGCGTTAGATAAGAGAATTAAAGTGCAAATATTAAAGTAAAATTAACATTAATTACACCGAACGACGCGTGATTTTGTCATGAATTTCTAACTTAATACCATTTCAACCAATATAATTTATCCTTATTTAACGCACTGGGGCACTCGTTAACAAGATTTTTTTTAATTATGTTAACAAACATAATGCATGATCACAAATTCCCAATACATGATATTGATTTGTTTTGACATATGTATAATAAATTACTAGAAGTTGTTATGAAATTGATATCGATTGTTTAGGTATGTCTCCACGTTTACTTTATAAGTTATAAATACAAGATATTAACTACTGTATTTTATTCTGAGGGGTTGTTGCCCTTTGATTAATTACTATTATTAGTAGGAGAAAATCAATTAAATGCTGGAAGACAAAATTAGGAAAGAAAGCTTTAATTTACATGTTTGTCACGGACTGATTTGAAGTACAGGAATGTATTAGCTTCATGCATGCCACACAAGTCACACTCTATCACTATCATTTATGGACCGATTTGCGATTTATACACTACTCCGTATATTATATAGTGGACAGAGCTACCAGAAATTTTCAGCATATAATAACAGTTGTTATTGAATTATAATTCAGAAAAAGAAATCTAACTTAAAGAAATAGGACAGTTTACTCTGTCCTTAGGATAATATGCACGCGAGTCACGTATCAAAGTGCTAAATCAATGATATACTACTAATCATCAACTAACAAATTTATGACCAAATCCTAATCAAATAGGCCCAAAAACAATTTAATTACACATAGCACACACCCCACAAGTTGGCATCCAACGTATCTTATTCTTTCCATGTGAGAGAATTTTTCCACACTTAAAAAACTCAAACGTTGAAGACTACATTTGCTAGCATTATATAGAGTGATAAATTAAATATTTACATTTGATGGTACTCATGAACAAGTAATTTGGTGTTAGAATGTGTTAAAACATACCAAGTAAACAAATAACTACATAGCACATGTGACTATGCGAGGGTTTTACATTGAAATAAAAAATGGAGCGTTAAAACAATTTATAAGATAATAAGATTAAGAAAGCCAAATCTTTTTAAAGGATTATTGCATGTAGCAACCTAGTTAAAGCTTAGTGGAGTTGATGGGAAACTCACCTTGTGAATTTGAGATCACAAGTTCCAGTCCCACTAACTATAAAATGATTGGGAGTAAGGGGATTCTCTTACCTCCTCCTCTACTCTCAAGCAATGACCTGCAAAGCTAAATTAGTTAAATCTATGAGATGTGTCTGTTCAGTACGATCCTTCATCTTACCTTAAAAAAGGAATTAAATAAATAAAAAAACAGCAACCTAGTTATGCCTCTTGAGTCTTGACGAAGGGTGATATATATATTTACCTTTGCATTATTTTTACTAGTATTATTATTCTTGATTGAGTTATTCAACAGGTTATAAATTACGTTATAGAAAGTTGGCAATAAAGGTTTGTACTCGTACTTCTGAAAAAGATAGATACAAGATGAATGATGATACATAACTCAAGTCTTCAAAGGTATAATTGTTATTGATGGCTGTATGAGTTTCAAATAAAAAATGTATGGAGTATTCTTATTGTTTTTATCTTTTGTTATCATTGACTTTATCAACTAAATTTTAGGGTTGTGGTAAAAAAAATTGACCTTACAACTTTGAGGTTGAGCTTCAATCCTCACCAAGACCTGGTTCTCTTTAGCTTAATTTTATTTCAGTTCACTTCAGCTCCAATCAATTCAGTTTAGTTCATAATTTCCTTCTCTCATAATTAATTCATTTCAGTTCAGTTTAGCAAAATCAAAACAGACCCTAAGTCAATTCGAGTACTCCAATAATGAGGATCCATGTATATGTCCTCTCGGGTCTTAAGAGTATGAGTTAACCTACTATCCCAAATCGAATTAACTTATACGGAGTATTGAAGTATAAAAAAACTCCGATCCATACCGATAGGTTATTTGTCTTACTATACATACC